TGAGGGCTGCCACGGCCTACCTGGCGGCGTCTCGGAGCTGGGGATGTAGGAGGAGGCCGGGACCACGCTGGGTGTGGCAGGCAGGTAGCTGGTGGAGGGCAGCGAAGGCTCGCTGTTCAGAGCCCCGAGTTTCTGGAAGACAGTGCATGGTCCCTCCCAGGAGAGGCCTGGGTCTCCGTGCCCCCCGGGAGCCTCGCCCTGGAGCAGGGCACGTGCCGCCCCGGCTGGAAGGGCTGCCCCACGGGAGTGGCCCCAGCAGAGGAGGGCTGGGCTCCTGTTTGGTGAAGGAGCCCCAAGCCAGCCCTCTTTGAGGAAAGAAAAAAGTCCAACAACGGTTTTCTTATGAAAACACGACAGAAGGTGACGTGCGCACAGTAGGAAAAGGAGAGGACAGCTGCGCAATGGAGAAGCTTCTCCAGGCCACAGCTGCTCACCGTCTGCGCAGGGGACTCCGCGAGGCGGGCACCGGTCTCCCGCGCAGGAAAGGGGCCTGGCGAGGGCCACATCTGTGATCTCAGCTCGCCAGCATGTGTCACGTGACATGCACAGGCCGGGGGCCCCCTGGCCAGCGCTGCCTCTTATATGCATGTCCATATGCATACACACCGCACACGTATGTATGCACACATGTATGTACATATATATATTCTCCGACAACACGCTTTAGTGGCTAAGGATCGGGACGAGGGAGCACAGTGGCCACGTGAGGCTCTGGCTGGGAGCCTACCTGTGTGGACACCAGGCCGGCTGCGTAGTCGGGGGTGGCGTTCTCGATGACCGTCTCCTCCTTGGCCGGCTTTTCCACCACTTCCGTGTCTGCGGACAGAGCCTCGTCAGCGCCCCCGGTAGCCCCCCTCAAGCAGCTCAGCAAGTATCCCCGAAATGCTGCCCCCGCCTGCCCTTCACGCCCGTCTCCAAGCAGAGGAGGAAACGCGCTCTCGGGAAAGGGCTGCCCTGCGGTCGCCTTCTCTGAGAGGCGGCCCCCGGGGGCCCAGGTACGCACCCAGCGTCTTCCTTCTTCTCTTTGCCTCTCGGCCGGCACCGACCATATCCAGCTCAGAAATGTGCAGCAGCTGCCAAGACAGACAGAGGCCACCTTAGCTATGGTGTGGAGCGCGCCAAGGCCGGCCACGAGGGCAGACACCGACGGGGCGCGCCCACCTTCACGCCCCCCCCCTTCCGCAG